AAACAAAATTCTTTTTTTTTTTAAAGATTTTATTTATTTATTTGACAGAGAGAGAGAGAGGGAACACAAGTAGGGGGAGTAGGAGAGGGAGAAGCAGGCTTCCCGCAGAGCAGGGAGCCCAATGTGGGGCTCAATCCCAGGACCTTGGGATCACGACCTGAGCCGAAGGCAGACTGAGCCACCTAGGCGCCCCTAAAAACAAAATTCTTAAAGTGAGTAATTTTGGAGTATTTTTTTTCCTGAAGAATTGCTTTGATTTTTTTTTTTTTTTGGGATAGGTTTTTGGAGCTTCTACTAAACAAATTGATGTTTACCGAAGTGTTGTTTGTCCAATTCTGGATGAAGTTATTATGGGTTATAATTGCACTATTTTTGCGTGAGTAAAACACTATTTTTCAAATTGCTGAAAAGGTTTAGATGCATGTATTTGTTTTCTAATTAACACTTTTGTTAATTTTGACAGATATGGCCAAACTGGCACTGGAAAAACCTTTACAATGGAAGGTGAGAGGTCACCTAATGAAGAGTACACTTGGGAGGAGGTATTTATTGTTTATAATAGATTTCTGTCTCTAAAGTGGTTGAAATATAACTGAATAGAAAACTTGGTAGAAGGCCTCTTTCTTGAAATAGAGAAGATCAATATACCCATGTCAAACATGATTGTAGGATAAACTACTATTTTAGCAAAATTAAAGTATATGGTATAGTTCCTGTTTAAGAAACATAGCGTCATTAGGAGAGAAAGGACCAATACATACGGCACAGTTAAGTGATAAGAGAGGGGTCTGTTTGAGACAGAATAGTTGGAGTAGAATATTGTGGAAACTGAGCCACCCAGGTGCCCCTCATATTTGTTTTCAAATATATCATTAAGGAGGCCCTTGTTATATGTGTTTTAACTGCCATAGTAAATGGCGTTCTTCCCTTATTTTAGTCCTTATTAATATTATAATTTCAGGATCCCTTGGCTGGTATAATTCCACGTACTCTTCATCAAATTTTTGAGAAACTTACTGATAATGGTACTGAATTTTCAGTCAAAGTGTCTCTGTTGGAAATCTATAATGAAGAACTTTTTGATCTCCTTAATCCATCTTCTGATGTTTCTGAGAGACTGCAGATGTTTGATGATCCCCGTAACAAGGTAACTTCGTCTTTGAGAATGAAGTGTCTCTGGATTTTAATGTGTGATGCTTTGAGAAATCAGTATATATATATTTTTTGTCAGACTAATGGATGATCTTTTGATATTGGTCAGAGGGGAGTGATAATCAAAGGTTTAGAAGAAATTACAGTACACAACAAGGATGAAGTCTATCAGATTTTGGAGAAGGGAGCAGCAAAACGGACAACTGCAGCAACTCTGATGAATGCATACTCCAGGTAAGAAAGCCAGTGTCCTCCCCCACCTCTCCATTTTCTTTTTTTTTTTTTCCTTTTTATTATTT